GCATTGACTTTGAAAATGTAATGCAGGTATGCGACACTTCTATTACCGATACTTTACGATCCGCTGGATATCGATGCGACGGGCGCAGAGCAGATGATATGCACGTGCACTTTTCCGCGGTTCCCCATGCACACGTGTTTATCGTACATATCATTCAACTTTATACATTATATACTTTATATTCTGGTTATTATGTTAAGTCTATTATGAATAAATGATGTTTTTCTACAAATTGTTGCATCTTGTTAAGAGTAATTGCCAAGACAATCCAGGTATAGCTGCTTTACACGGACATATTGTCCAGGTAAGAACGATTCACCGTGTACACGGAATATTGGGACACCCTGTACAAAGGGAACACTATTTTTGATACGAGTATCTGCAAAATGGGCAACAAACGACTACAAATTACAGTCCCAATTAAATGCGGAAAAAATTGCACAACAGCACAGTCATTAGATTATTCAGTCGCCGGTAACGGCGTTGCGCAAGCAGCTGTATCTTTGTGACAAAGCCAAGTCGATACTTAAATGTGATTTTGCACAACTTTCTCACGTCCCGATAATTACGACGACTTGGGATTAATGAGATGCCGTTTATTTTAAGGAAACTTTCGACGCGTTAGACAGTAATAGCACTTCTTGCTAGCTGAACAAGGTGATAGTGACGAAGAGAGACGTTCCGCGTAGAAACTGTTTGTACAGGGTCGTAACTGTGAATGAGGGTCATATACGGAGCTACCTTTGACCTTAAGAAACGCGAATCGTACGTTTGTTTACTCGAATCCCGTATTCCGAAAATAATTAACGTCCTTTTAGTTTCTTAAAGTATTTTGTGAAGGTTTCCCTTTGTAGTTGTCACTGTAAGCCCCAACGTTTTTACGACCTAACCTGGAATTTGTTCCGAACGAACGCGACGAGTAAAAGTCAAAGTGACTTTCGGAAACAAAGACCTTTTGTCTCTATAGTTAAACTGCGTAACTCGCACCCGTTATTACATTACACAACGGCCTACCTTTTCGGTGCCCTCAAACAAAACGCCACCTCGCCCACATGACAGATAAAAATCGCCCGGTAAATCATAATTAGCCCTCTTTGTTCCCGCGATTTTCCGCCTGCCCTCTTTTCTCATTAACGTGGAGTCGTTCTCCCGGCCGAAGCCTGCAAGTAATCTCGTCATATTCGTATCGATCCCAAGAAACCCAGGACTGTACCAGCGCGAGGCGTCAATGGGACAGGATGGCCGATTACTATTACGCGGCTAATGCTAGGGTCACGCAGAGCGCTACAGTAGCTATGTTCGCTGCGTACTCTAAAAGTAGTCACAATTATTTCATGCCAGGATATACACATCGCTATACTAACTAACGATACCAACAATTTAATGGTTATTTTGTGGCTGCAATAATTAAGGCTGATGGAGATGAAAACAAACTGAAATGGCGTTATAAACATATAACCCAGAAGTAAATATGCTTCGACATATATGCGAACATAGCTATCGGCGAACATAGCTATCAGCGAACATAGCTTACATATCGTCGGCTTTCTGTGTGGCTATGATCATTTAAAACAATGGTGGATATTTTTAATAAACATAGCGAATTTTATTATTTATATGTGTTTAGTGTAATCCAACAGCAGTTTCCTTTTTGTTTTCATCCTCAGAAAAATAAAACAACGGGATATTTGATGTATGCAGACATTACTATTTATCAATGAAAATATAACCGTGAAGCTAATCTGCTTCGACATATCTGCGAACATAGCTATCAGCGAACATAACTTATTGTATGGCTATGAACGTTTAAAGCAATGGTGGATATTTCTAATAAACATAGCGAATTTCATTATTTATATTTGTTCAATGTGATACAAGAGCAGTTTCTTTTTTGTTTTCGTGGTCAGACGACTATCTGCGAACATAGCTATCAACGAACATAGCTATCTGAGAACATAGCTATTCGCGAACATAATATCTATATATCGTAAGGTTTTCGGGAAGGTAAGTGGAATTGCAATCTGTTTGAGGTTGAAGACAAAAAAAAACACACAACGAACATAGCGCTATTAATCTATCCTCTCAGAGAGTTAAAAACATTTAAGCCTTCGTTTATGATGATTTCTACAGCACCAAAACGGCGTTATTTAAGCCTTAGCTAGTTCTACGGTTTATAATCTCGTCTCGCAACTGTCCAAATTTATCACATTAATCTCGTACATCTCCAGACGTGTCTCATCACGACTCAACAACTTGCATTAAAATAATTGTCGGACCCAGACGCGGCTTGTCGTGACTATGCTTCTGCGGGTAATGAAAGTATGTCGTCTCTGTGTAACGAGGTCCCATGAATTATGAATCCGCGCAGAGACATTAGCGAAACCGCCAGATTACGAAATTAACCACTTAACCTTATCAATTTCGGGCGATTGTATCTCCATTCGGAATGATGAAACAGATAACGATTACATAGCGGTGGTGCCGCCACCGGTATCACTAGGGCAACGAATTTAATCGGTGCAAAAATTAATTGGATCATCCCCGCGCGTGCACGGGAAATATACTAATTGTCAGTTTTTGTTTTATTAAGTTTATTAGTTGATCGATAGCCACCGGCGACGCAAATAGAATTTCCGGGCTTCGAACCGGTTTCAGGGGGTTAAATAAGAGGAAGGGGAATATTTCGCGCGCTCCGCGGGAATTTTCCGGCAACCGGACACGCTTAAGTGTAGAGGTGCCCTTTTTTTTTATTTCGACGCCTGTCCAAGTAGGTGTCGGGTTTTGATGCTTGTAGAATGGCACCTTCTCTTCGGGAAAGCTCACAGTTGAACAACCAGACAACTGAATCGACAGATTATTAAAAAAAAATTGTTAGAAACTTGTTAGGGGGATTCGCCGGAATACTGAACTAAACTAAAAAAAAATACTAATCTTATAGATTTGAAATATTTTTTAAAATTTCTAAAATACGTATTTTTTACTATTTCTGTAAAGCACTCTGTTTAGTCTATGAATTTCACTGTCAATGACCACTGACAATGATCTAGCTCTAGTCTTTTTGAGACACCCTGTATATGACGTCCTTTCAAATACGCACCCCTCTATTTTATAACGCACAGCAATTGCTTTAAAACTTGTCATTTTTTGAGACCTACACGAACGTATCAAGCATTTTGAAGGATATTTATCGGGACGAATAAAAACAGGATTATTTTATCCGACACGTCCATCAAAGGGTGGATTTCAAATGAGTGACAACCGATTAGAGACAGAACGAGATCCAACTCAATTTTTATCGTATAAAAATATGCTTGGCACAAATAACGTGCTACCGAAACGATTTTATTAAATTACGGTGTGCAAAAAAAACAAAATTGAACCTCCGTGCTCTCACGGAACCTTACGGATTAAAATATTTATCTTCGCGTCCGTCGTCTCTACAAGACCTGCCAATATATTCCGTAATACAGCCGGCGTCATACTTCATCCCGTAGAGCCCTTCTTGCGATAAGTGCAGTAATAAAGCACCATTTCGCACTGAAGTGTGTTCTTTGTTCTCCCAATTGGAAGCCTCGACGACGAGGAATATCTGTAGTGAACCAGGGGGATCTTGTTTGGCGAGGGTATAATTAACCGTTTAGAGGATTTGCTAGGGGGGGATGGTTTATTGGGGAAAACGAGCCTAGAGGGAGGCGGAATATGGTGCATATAAAATTGTTTTTGTGTACTTATTACTCAATTCATTCACTGTATATTTCAAACATGGGCGCCGTTAGGTGGGGCAACGCAGTAGTGCAGTCATTGAAGCTGAAAATCAGCTGTAACCTCCGAATTCTTTGAAACTGCGTGGATTTGCATGAAAATTTAGAATAAGGCTCATCTTAGGCTCAAGTTCAATAGTGACATAGGCCCGATTTTTGTTTTTTTTAGGGGTAAGAACTACCGCTAAGTGAAAAACATTAAAAAAATAAGTTTTAAGCATTTTATTGACAAAAATCTTGTTCAAGCACAAAGAATAAATAATGTTCCATGTTCTCGAACATGTTTTATGAATATTTGATATTTTCGACCCTTTATTTAATCCTTAAAAACTACCTCTATGCAAAAAATAATAAAAAATTAAATTTTAAAGATTTAGAATGATTGATTTAAAATAAAAGTTACCTTATAGCTAATAAAAGAATTTTTCCCTTTCAACCCCTAAAAACCACCCCTGTATTGACAAAAATGATAAAAAATTACTTTTTAAAAAGCTTGGAATGGTTTAACGGTGCAATTATTTGAAATAAAAATTTCAATCGTGAATAACTAATAATGAATATATGAATAATTGTGATGTGATGATGTGATGTGTGATGATGATGTGATGTGATGTGATGATGTGTGTGATGTGATGATGTGATGATGTGTGTGATGTGATGATGTGTGTGATGTGATGATGTGATGTGATTGTGATGTGATGTGTTGTGATGATGATTGTAATTTAAATGTGAATAATTTCAATCGTGAATAACTAAAAAACTATCGATTTCTCGAAAAAATTCTTCGAATATTTATTTGCTCGAAATTTGATTCTCTATCGATTTCTAGCGTTATTTTTAAAAAAATACACACCCTGGAACCCCCAACAGTGTGGAAGCGTCAATCGGCGCTATGTCACTAATGTCCATTGACATTTTCTCTAACTATCTGCCAAATTTCAAGTCGATCGGTTCAGTTTCAAAGAATTCGGAGGTGAAAAGCTTCAATGACTGTTACTACAGGTCATTTAGGTCCCGAAAACACGAAAATCCATGAAATTAAACTTATTATTATTATTTGACGAGTGATCACATAACTGAACACTTCTTTCGCGTCACCCTAAGACAGCCTGTGTAAAAGAGACGTATAGAATAAAATATTTTATCGCTGAATATTCTCCTCGATCTCCCGGGGGACTGCTGTGACCGCGGCCGACCCCGAACCACATAAATCACCCAAAATATCGGTAATAAACTTACATCACACGGACTTGCTGATCCCGCCTCAGCCTCTCGTCGCGGCTCAGGACGTCAAGGATGATTTCCCTCTCCTTGTCCGTTAAGTGTGTTGCTTCTTTGGTTGCCGCGGCAACCACCGCGTGCGAGCAAGCGGGGTCCTCACAACATGACATACCTCCACGGATTCGAAGCGTGTATTCGGAGGTTTCTATTTACTTATTTCTTTTTAACACTAGGGCAGTGGCGCTTTTTGGTTTTTCCGGTGGCTTACCTTTGCGAAAGGCAGCTCTGGAAAACGGGGCTGGTCGTTATTCGTCGGTCGGTGCGGCGGACGAGTCGCGAGCTTCCCCAGCGGGTCGGGAATGTTATAACACTACTATCGAAATAAATGAAATAGACCCCTGAGTTTGGAAATCGATATTAAGAAAACGTAGGGGCGAAAAAATTTGAAATTTGGACCATATACAGGGTGTCCCGAAATTCATGCAACAAAATTTGGTCACAGATTCTGAAGACAAATTTAGGGGACACGTATTTTTTCTTTTTGCCAAGTGACCGCCCCTAAGAATAATCTTTTTTTTAAATCTCAGAACCCTGTTGTACGAGAATCACTAAATTTGGTACACAGGGATTTCATGTCATGTGGAATTTGATGGTGCTACGTTTTTTGGCTGGGAACCCTCTTAAGACAATTTTTCGTGAGCCCCCTTGTCTTTGAAGCCAAAAAAATTTTGTCGCATATATAAATTTCTTAAAAATTTTCTATCCACTAGAAAGCCATTAAATTTAGAAACTTTTTGTCTCTTTATACTTTTTTCGTAAAACGCAATGTTTTCGAGAAAAATGTCAAAATGTGATCGAATGCACATCGTGATTCGCCATTTTCCTCAAAAACATTGCGTTTTACGAAACAAATATCAAGAGACAAAAAGGTATTTGCGACCAAATTTTTCTGGTTCCAAAGACAAGGGGCCCACGAAAAAGTGTCTTAAGGGGGTTTCTCGCCAAAAAGCGTAGCACTGTGAGATTCTACATAAATCATAAAACCCCTGTGTACCAAGTTTAGTAATTCTCGTAAAATACGGGTCCCCTAAATTTGTCTTAAGAATCTATGACCAAATTTTGTTGCATGAATTTCGGGACACCCTGTAGAGCCTCACTATTACTCTATTGCGTGCTAAAATTTCAGTTAGTTTCGTTATCCCATTTTTTAATTAGTAATGAAAATGTTGAAAAATTCACGATTTTCTGCCTACAAAATTGATACTTGATTTTAACTCGTCGTATTTTTTTTGTTAATTGATAAAAAAATTCCAAATTTTTACTGACGATAAGTCGAACTATTGTCTTTAGTACTGTGAAGGTCATTTGTCTCAAAAGCTCTTTTTTTATTTTTAAGCAAAACTGAAAAATCCAATTAAATGAGCCTTTAAATCTCAATTGTGGTCAACTTGCCTGAATCTTTGATATAAGTTAGTTTGAGGTATATAATAACAATAAGTGACAGTATTTTTTTTTCAACCCTCCAAGATAGGCCAACCAAGATAAAGAGGTTTTTCAAGATAACTCAAAAGGGGTAAAAGCTAGAAAAAAGTTTCTTATAAAAGTTGTAGAGCATAAAATTCTACATAAAAACGGTCTATTAACTTTTTCTGGTGCTGCTATTAAAATTAACAGAGTTAGGAGACTAGATGTTAAGGGATGATTTCAGAAATTTAAAAAATCATAACAAGCAAAAAAATGAATGAATTTTATTTTTTTCTTTCAATCTACCCTAAAAAATGTACCTAAACTATCTCTTCAGAGAAATAGATATATTTTTAATTTTTAATAAAAAAGTTATAACAATTTCACAAAGCGAAAGCGATTTTTCATTGTCGTAAAACAAAATTTCGAAAGCAACTTTTCATTAATAATAATAATACTAATTCAAATAATCAATCGAATGGCATAGAAAAAACATAGAAATTAACGACTAAAAAATTGAAATTTTTATAACTTTTTTATTAAAAATTAAAAAACATTATCTATTTCCCTGAAAAGAAAGTTTAAATTTTTTAGTTGATTGAAGAAAAAAATTGAAAAATTCATTAATTTTTCTGCTTGTTACGATTTTTTGGAATTTCTGAAATTATCCCTTAACTTCTAGAAACCCCAACTCTGTTAATTTTAATAGTACAAAAAAAGTCAATAGACCATTTTTATGTAGAATTTTATGCTCTACAACTTTTATAAGAAATTTTATTTTCTAGCTGTTAACCGGGTTTTTTTTAGNATTCAATCCAAAGCGTGATGGACCCTACACCATAACACGAAAGGTTTCTCCTACTACTTATGAAATTAGTTATGATGGTATTACACCACTGGGGGTGTATCATTCTTCCTCGTTGACCCCATTCATTGGTCAGGTCGACCAACAACCCGTTCGAGTATTAAAGAAGAGGGGAAGACCTCCAAAAAATAAGAAACCACCTCATGTTGGCTCCTCATCGTTCTCGATTTCAGATCCAAGGGGGGAGAATATAACAGATGTTCAGTTGACCTGCGGCGCGGTCGTTGACGGCAGCGCGATGCTTGAGAAGAGAGAATCAGTTAATCCAGAACCACCGGCGAGTCGTCACGTGTTTTCCGCGTAAAGACTATACTTTCCATAACTATAAACTTATAAACTTTGTAACCTTAAATAAACAAATAAAAATCATGCAAAGGGCATAAATTTCAATATGTTTATTTCGCAAAAGAAATTATTTGAAAAATGAACCTTCTTTAATTCATTATTTTGTTTGAAATATTGTTTTAAATAGTGTAAAAAAAAAATAAAAATACTTTGCATTATATCTTTAACAATTGTTTATGGAAATTGTATAATTTTAGATATACAGGGTGTTCCATTTAAGAAGGATTCTTCTGTAACTTTGCAACTGTAAAATATAAAAAAATGGTTTTAATAAAAGTTGCCTGGAATCGTGTAGGTCATTACATTTAAGAATCTTACGAGTTGAAAAACTTTTTTTTTTCAAATGGAATGGCCCATATTAATTCTTGACGCTGTTACATAGCTACTTTTTCGGACTTTAGAAAAGAACCTGATTTAGAGATAAGTATGGACAACTTTATATCAGTCTAAAGGGCATTCAATTTTGTATTCACCCATAACAATTAATATGGGTCATTCCATTTGAAAAATTATATACAGGAAGTTCCATTTAAAATAACAAAGTTATGTATCACGACAGTTACAGAGTTACAGAAGTTTGTATTAAATTTGTTAAATTTTGCGCTTATTTGAAAATAGTAAATTAAAAATGACATATTATTAGTTGTGGCATTAGCCAAACTTTCATCAACTAATTCGAAGATCTTTAGATATATTTTTCTAAATTTCAAGAGCCCGAGTCTCGCAAAACAGTAGCTTTAATTCTTTGATTCATGTAAGACTCTTTGCCCCAAAAACAACCTCTTAAATTTAACATATAGCTTTCGAAAACAGCCTATAGAAGAATTTTCACATTTAGACTTAATAAAAAATATTATAATATACTTAATTTCATATCGATTTGCTAAAATAGAGGTAATTAATTCATTTTTTTTTTTTTAAGGAAGACAATTCATTTATATTTTTAAACAGAAAACATCCTTTCTTGTGCGACTAACAGTATTTATGTCTGTAGTCTAGACAATACGAGTATTTAAACAAAATAGCGTCGAAAAACAAGAACCCGCCGTTCATCCTCACACCCCAACGTCCAAAACGACTCATCCGCTGCAACGACGAAGACAATTTCAACCCCGCCGATATCTTAAAAGTAAAAAACGCGACTCCCCGCATACGACCAGCCACATATACCTTCACATCAGCTGTATATCATCTTCCTGCTGAAATATAAAAAGTCCTAGCCAGTCCAGCCACATTCAACACGTGTCTGACGATCGCGACCCCAACCCCGCGCCACCGACCGACTCCACGCACTCCATGAGGGGCTTCTCCACCTCGACGGCTCTGATAGACTGCGGCGGAGTTCTCTTGGGTTCCCTCTGGTCGGACTGAAACGCCGAAAGCGGCGCTGCCGCGTCTAGTCGCGATCTACGGTTAAAAACGACGAAACGGCAACAGCAAATAACACACTCGACTCGAAAGAAATACGGTGGGGCGTTTTACGTTTTAATTAAAAAAATTATAATAGTAACACGCGGAAAGAGGTCACAATTTGTACATTTTCAAAGTATTTCAAAAGTTTTTCTAGTTATTTTGGAGGTATATTGATCTCACATAGTAAAAGTGTAGATCCTAGATCTGGGCGAGGTCCGGAACATTTTCAAAATTGCAAAAATGTTTAAAAATTAAAAAATTTTATCTGAGTTTTTTTACTTATATCTTGGAATCTATGCATTTTGGAAGGATATTGAAGAGGAAAAATGTTTTAGAATTGAATTTTGTACAATATACTGTACGTTAAAAATGTTTAAATTTATTACCGATGTTGCAAAATAACAATAATTTATGAAAAAAAGGCAAAATAATAAAGTTTTTTGGATAATTTTTTTAAAATATTTTATTTGCTCCGAAGGCATTCTAATTTTTGTAAAAAAAAACTTTAGAGTATAATAAAACAATACATCAAATTTCATTAAAATCGGTTGGATACTTTTCGCAAAATAATGTTTTGAAAAAAATTTTGAAAAAAAATTTTCAAAATGTTGCACCGCCCCAAATAAAGCATCTAGATGCTTGAAAATTTTTTCACATAGTAGAGACTGCTCAACCTTTCAAATGGTTTTCGAAAAGTTGAAATCGGTTGATTAGGACGACCACAGTAAATTTTTTAAAGTTAACACTCTTTTTTTAATTTTTAAACAATTAGATTACAGTTATCAATTTGCAATTTAGTTTTATTATTTACTTTTTTTAATCTGTATTTAACAAAAAAATTAATTTCCAAACAAAAAAAAAATAATTTGTTTAAACTAAAATTATTTAAATAATTGTAATAATTATAACTAAATACATTCATATTCAGTGTTGAAATATACAGGGTAATTCAAAAAACCGCGGACAGACTTCTAGGGTAGATAATACATAAAAAATTAAGACGAAAAGTTTTAATAAACATAGGGTCCCAAATGCCCCCTTAACGAGATACAGGGCGTCAAAGTTTCTGTAAAATTAAACATTGTCTGCTCAAAATCTTACGAGCAGCAGTGTCGTAGAGACGGGGTCAACGTGACCCTTTTTTAAAATATTTTCTACGCCACTGCTAATTTTGTCAAACGGGCACTATTTTCGTGTAAAGTGTTCAATTGTCTATCGAATTGGTCTCTTGCAAAATTTAAATTAAAACAACCATTTTTAAGAGAAACACCTTTGTAGAAAATTTGTAAATCCAATTTTATTTTCATTCATTTCAGTTTCGCATAGTAGGCTTGTGCTATTCAAAATAAAATTAAACATCGCCTGTCACTAATGTCAATGTGTACAAGTGAGTTAAGTAAACTAGATTATAAGCTTCTTTTTGTCATTTTTACGCTTTTATTTTACAGAAACCGACCCTATGTTTATTTAGACTTTTCGTCTTAATTTTTTATGTATTACATACCCTAGAAGTCTGTCAGCGGTTTTTTGAATCACCCTGTATACGTAAACAAATATGTTCATTGAAAAAATGTAATAGCATAGGGTAAAATATGCAATATATTTAATGCATAAATAATACACTTTGTTTATAACAAAATATGTACAAATTAGACAGTTTAACTTTATTTTCAGATATTTTTATTGTTCAAAAAAAAAATATATATTAAGATGTATGGCAGGTGTTACGAATACTGTGTCGTGTAGGAATATATTTAAGGATTTTCGAATTTTAACTTTGTGTTGTTTGTGGATTTATGAATTATCTGTATATTATGTGTGTATAAATAAATATAAATTTTTGAAGAATAGGGATATTCACTGCATTAATACAAGGCAAAATGATAAATATCATATAAATTTTTATAAATATAAAATTTCATTGAATTCACCGACATGTCTTGGTCTTAAGATTTTTAATCATCTAAGTGATCACATTAAGCATGCTAAAAGTTTAAAAGTTTTTAAAAATGTGCTAAAAGGTTTTTTACTCGCAAGTTGTTATTATACTTTAGACGAATTTTTTATGGTTAGTTTCTAAGGCACTTATTTTGACAATTCCTATACAAATTTGTATTTTGTCTTAGAGGAAATAAAAATTATTATTATTATTAAATTTTCAAGTATCTAAGGGCCTTGGTTTTTGATGTGCAAAATTTTGAAAATTGCAAAACAAATCTGGATTGCAAAATTATGCAAAATCTATCGAACCGATTTTGATGAAATTTGGTGTGATGATTCTACATAACATGAACTTTTCTTGAGCCAAGTATGAAGGTCATACACGGTCGATTGCCGCACGGTTTAAGGCGTCAGTACTTAAATCGATGTGTCGATCTGTCCGGGTTTCGAATCCCGCGGCCGGTAAACCGTAGATTTGCTTGTACGGAGGATTGGCACCCTCTGTGCAGGTATGGTAGGGTGGAAGAATGTTGGCTTGGGTCAATGTGAGAGATTGACACCNGATCAAAGATTATTGCTAAATTGTTTATAAATTAACGGTAAATGCCGATAAACTTTGACCGCTTATATCTCGAGAACCAATAAACGGAATTTAACTTTTTTAAAAAAAAAAAGTGTTTTTCCGAGTACCTTAAAATTATAATTTTTGAAAAAAACTAAATTGCAAATCGATAAATATAATCTAATTGTTTAAAAATAAAAAGAGTGTTAACTTTAAAAATTTACTGTGGACGTCCTAACCAACCGATTTCAATTTTTCAAAAACCATTTGAAAGGTCTTTTCTATGTGAAAAAATGTTGAAGTATCTAGATGCTTTATTTGAGATTTTCGAAGCTGCACACAAATACCCGTTAAGGGTCACCGCTAACGGAGAAAAAAACTTTGAAGAACCCAGAACTGTATTTTTTTTTGAGAATCTGGCAACGCCGCCTGACTAGAGTAACTATAGCGACCAGCTTCCACGCCACGAGGCCCAACTACCCTCTGACGTCATCGGGAGAACACCCCTCCAACAGGTGAGCGCTATCTCAGAGCCCGAACATCACTTTCCTACTGTCAATTTCAACACGGATGGAGGGCCGGTGCCAGACGCAGCGGCGGCGAAAGCGATCCAGGAGTGGGCGGACGCTAAGTGGGATAACTGGGTTATAAGTGGGATAGTGCGGATTTCAGTGCTATCGTGGCACTTACGCAATAGGCTCTGTGGTTTTTTTTATATTGTTTTTTAATTTGGCGAGGTTAAAAAACAATTCAGGTGGCCCGAATAACAGAAAAATTAAGGTTTAGGTAGGATATACAGGGTGTCCGCGAAAGATTGGGAAATCTCGAAGCTGGAGGTACTGGTGTACAAAAAAATTGGCACCATTACGTTTTTTGACATGACACATAGGAATTTTTAACTAATTTTAGTGTTGCTTGTATAGGGCGTCAGTTATGCCCTGTTACTTTGATAAATAGAAGAAATTTTTTTTGTCCTTCGTTTCATAAAAATGCTACTTTTGTTCGTTTTCGATATCTCCCTTTGTTTCGAGATATTTATATACAGGGTGATTCTCAAATGCTGACCAAAAATGAATACATGTGCCCAATTTCAAATTATTTCACTTACTAGTTTTTAATATATTTCAAAAATTAAAAACAAGTTGTATAAGAAAGATTCCCCTTAAAAGTCACCAAATACGAGGTTTCATTTTTTTGTCACCATTTGCGAATCACCCTGTATACAAATTTCAATGCATTTCGTTTTTAAGGAAACTTCAATCCTTAAATTAAACTAATGCGACTTGACAACTAGTAGATGAACCAAATTGTGATATTTGTTATTTATTTGTTTAGTTTTGAAATATTCTTTGTAATCATGTTGCCAATTTCTTTCATATTTTCCACCATAAAACGCTATTTATCTTGAAAACGGTTCGGGTTACAGTTTTTGATGATGAACAACTTTTTGTATAGAAAACATTGGCAATTTACCTTCAAAATGTCAATTTTCCCAGAGACGTAAAAATTAGGGCCAAAAAACCTCACGCAATCCTAAAATCTCCGCCACTGTCGTATGAATAAAAACTGAATTAGCCCGCAAAAGTAGTTAACGTTAACGACAATAAGTGTACAAAATTTGAGTTCTGTATATATGTATATCTCGAAAATGGCGCGTTAGCGGGCCCTTGTTTACTATAACTTGTTTTGTTTCTAATATCGTGTATTTACAGCCGTTTATATAATTATGATACACCCTGTATATTTGTTCTCTGCAAAACAACTGAAGCTTATTGGATTCCAATGAAATATACCTCATTTTTGATTTCGAATTTAACAAATTTATAAACCATCAATTTCCATAATCTTTTTAAGTATTAAGGCGACACCTTTTGTCAATATAAATACATACTAACAATACCCAAATAGAAGAACATCCTATTATAGTTTCAAACAAATAATGTACAACTTCGTATAAGTATAAAATTTTTAGTTTTGGATTATACAATTGACTTTTCTGCATTTTTCACCGCTCAATTATTGCTCACTGGGAAAATTAATTAAAAAAGTGACTACCCCTGGTGGGACTCGAACCCACAGTCCCCGGCTTAGGAGGCCGATGCCTTATCCATTAGGCCACAGGGGCTCGCTTGATAATAGCGACAATATTGAACCAGTAGAAACATCGCACATCATAAGTCAATCATTCGTTTCTCAGTTCGTTTAGGGTAAGTTCGGTGTTAACGTAGATGCTCTGGATGTGTTTTATCCTTTTCTAATTGTAATAGATGAAAGACAAAGAGCTCTAGATATTATTACCGAACTTGCCCTTAGTCTTACCCACAGAACATTGGTTACATTCTGCCGACAGAATCAATGAGTTAGGCTCTGTGCTTTTATTCGCAATTTCGAGACGACGGATTATGTAGAGCCAATCAGAACTTAGGATTGTTTAAACAGACCAATAATATTACATGGATGAAAACTATGAATAAAACAGCTCATCAATTCTGTCGAGCATTATCGAATAAATGTGGTCAATTCTCGTTTCTTCGCACTATTCTTAATAAGTGAGGTTATGTCGTGACACGTAAATAAATATGCAGAAAAATAAATCAATATAACACTACAGATTATATATAATATGTGAAATTCAATTATTTTGGGGCCACTATGGACGTTATGAAGAAGCTGTCCTCGCTACAAGAAATATCCAAGAGTCAACTAAGCAAAATCCTGTGCGTTAACCCCAACAAAAAGTACTTGATCCTAGAACCCTCTCTTATAAAACCTTTAGAGAGAGTTTGTGGCGTCAAATGGTTGAAGTACGTATTAAAACACTTAATACGAAAAAAAATGTAACCGTTATTTTTACAGGAGCTTTGGCGTGGACAAAATCTTTAAAACAGAAAACGTCATTCCAAATTTCTCAGCTGCCGCAATCTTTTACATGATATACTCTGAGACGAGGACCTTCAAACAAGTCGTTGACCAAATACGCTCCCAGATAGACATCGAAAAACCTCCGAGAAATAAGTTCCACATTATAGTCGTCCCGCAAGCTCTGTGTACTTTCGAGAACGAATTGGAAGAACTAGGCTTGTTATACACTGCAATCGCTCTACATTCGTTCCAGTGGATGCCGATACACTTGGACGTTGGTGTTCTAAGCTTGGAAATACCGAACGTGTTTAGTTCGCTGTTCGTTTATCAAAACGCTTTATTCCTGTCGAATCTATCGAAAATCCTCTGGCAGCTGTGCTTCGTGATAGGCAAGCCGAGGTTTATGCTGGCACTGGGGCAATATTCCGTTGCTCTATTGAACCAGTACGACAGGTTATGCGAGGACAGAGGCGAAACGGACAAATTGGACTCGGATTTCGGTGCTTTCGTGATAGTGGATCGTAACGTAGACTACCCGAGTGCTTTACTTACACCCGGTACATATTCCGGACTGTTAAACGAAGTTTACACTTGCCGTACAGGCGTTTGCGAGAACAAAGAAGAAGTAGTCGATAAGTTGGACGAAAAATGCAACCCTGTCGTAGCGAAACAAGTTGTAAGTTTCGCTTTGGACAGTAACCAAGACAGTGTGTACGCCGACATAAAAAACAGGTATTTTACCGAAGTAACGTCCGTATTGAGTAACTTAACAAAGCAACTTAAGTCGGAAAAGGTAAGCTCGAAGGAAATGGCGCTGGACGAAATCAAGCACTACGTCCAGACGAAACTCCAGGCGACAAAATCAAGGAAAAAATTCATCACGAACCACTTGTTGGCTGCGGAAAGCATTATTAACATCCTCGGACACCGCTACGAGAACCAAAACCACATCGAACAGAACATCATGAAAGATACCGAGAAAACGAACAGTTTAAACTTCCTAGACGAGCTGCTAGCTACAGAAAACGACAAATACGCGACCCTACGGCTGTTCTGCTTGCTTGCCGTCACCCAAAAGCTAACGGAAAGCGAAGTCAGGACGTTTTGGCACAAGTACTTGCAACAGTTCGGGTTCGCTAACGGTTACGGCTTTTTGAACCTAGTAAAGGCCGGTTTTATATCGGAACCGGTACAAAGTTCCAACAGCTTGAATTTACAGAGTAAAATTAAGATCCCGAAGTTTACCTCGAGTGATTTCTACATAAACGCCAAGAACCTTAAACAGATCCCTCCGGACCCGGATAAAATAAATCTGAAATATCCGACATGCGCTAGTTACGTTTATGGTGGTGCGTACATACCTCTGATCACTCAAATAGCCGGCATGATCCTCAATTCGCTACCTGTGGACGACGTCAGGTCGAAGTTAGATCCGTTAGGTGCCTTGTCTGTAAGAAACGACAAGGGTTATCCTTTGCAGACGAGATCGGTGTTGATTTACGTTGTAGGGGGTGTGACCTACGCCGAAATAGCGGCGTGTAACTTGTTGGAGACTTTGACGGGTGCTCGGATTTGTGTTTTGAGCGATAGGATCGTTACGGGGAACGATTTGATGGCGAGTGTTGTGGATTTTCCGAACTGAATTGTTACCGAACTTATTAATTTGTTCATCATATAAAATTATTATGTTTTTTATTTATTGTGTGTTTACTTGGAAACTTGTTTTAGAGGATAATAAAATATTTTAGGTACCAGTTAAAGCTTGGTACTGTGATTGTAGACAAAATTTCGTACACTTTCAGTTGTTTAACCTCACAATTAGCCAACCGAAGCCTCAACAGTAACGGTACAAAAACTAGTGATGTTTTAGTTATAAAAAATGCAAAAGCTAGAGATATTTTAAATATATGTATGTAGATATTTACATTGAGAGATGCCAATCATTTGAGTTAAACTTTAAAATCTTCGCGCATGCGTGCAAGTTGATTTCTCTGAACGCGAAATTGCAAACAAAAAAGGGAGATTAGATTCCTAGCCATACCTGTTTCATTATGTAGAAGCCGTTGAATCGGTCGGGGTAATTTATTCTGGTTGGCACAATAATTAATAATTACACTCGACGCTAAACTTTTACTAACGCGTAGCCGTGGTGTGTAGTTGCAAGCCGGCTCAACTTCGTTTTGTACGCGCACATCGTGGACAGAGAACCGCAGGCTTTTGTTTTTACACAAACAGCAGCCTATATAATTTAAACAAACAATTTAAGTTAACAGTTATACGTAAGAAAACGTATGATTTTTTTTCACCTACATATTGTACGAATCACGTATAAAAAGTCACTTTGCAGTTTAAGATTGTAGTTTAAATTTGAAACTAACCTAAATGTTGCGTCAAATTTGAAATAGCCTTACCTGTTTTCCACAATAAAGTGAATGTTTAGGTTGAAACAGCTCTGGAAAAACGGCAGAAAGATGCATTTGTCCCGTTCTCTAATGACACCACCACATGTGCACAAACCCACTATATATATTTACGAAACGCGTTAAACTTTGCAATTTTTGCATCGTAACACAAACAAAAACAACTCTCACATGGATTTTAACAAAACCAAATTGCATTTGCAGCTAGGTTTGCAGCTTACGCACGCATGCGCACTTGTTGATATTTCAAAAGCCACCACCAGAGCGCGCGATCAGGCGGGAATTTTAAAAATTGTATTAATTTTTAAACAAATTTCACTTTATTGTATTTCAATGAAAAAAGTCTTCCATTTTATTTGGAAAACCAGTCTATTATTAAATTTTTTTTTAAATCTATAAGCTTAGGTACCACAAAATCGTTAATATGTAATTGAAAAACTTCTCAAATGCTCAAAAAATTCATTGGCATTGAAGTTTTGAATTTTCTAAAGAAAATGCACTAACAGTATTTCCAAAATATTCAGTGCTATATAAAGGACCCTGCAGAATCCTTATGGAAAGTGGCTTTTCGCTAATTTTTTTGTGATAGTTCTGATCACATGGATAAAAAATGTCAATGGGCAAAAAGTCTGAAGGTTGTGTAAATTATAAAAAAATTTGAAAAAACTTTTTGAAAAAATTTCTATTTCATTTTTTTTAGAATAATGAACGTTTTTTAAGAAAAAAAAAAGGGGTTATGCCAAAAAAACATTTTTAACTTAAAAAAAATGAATAAAAAGTTAAAAATTTCTTATTACACCGATTTTCAGCAAAAACGATAAATTTAAACATTCCGGGCACAAAGAAAAAAAAATCGCAGCATTTTGAAATTATCAGGGCTTCTTTAGGACACTTTGAGGTTGAAAAGTTACAGTCGATATCCTTAATTTATTCATTATTTGCAAAGTTATGCCAAGTTATTCAAATATGCCTAATTATGCAATTTTTTACCTTTTTCTAACCAACATTTTCACTTCGAAATTTTTTTTTTATCAAAAACCAATAATTACGACTTGTAGAGAATACTTTGCAGTTTTCAAAACCCTGCTTGGATTTTCTGTACGACCATTATTTCCCGAGTAATTAATTGCCAAAGTCAAAAATAATTTTTTTGTTTTGTTCCAAGATAATTCAGTGACAAAACATCATACAGTGCTCCGGAACCGCTCAAACTGAAGATAATTAAATTATCTAAAAGGCTTTATGGCGTAATTACCCAAAAAAAAATTTTGAAGTCCATAGGCCTTTTTAAAAAAAAGCAAAAAATTTGCTATTTTTTTTCGTTGACTTTCTTATGATTACTCAAAAACTGCCGACGCTAAAAATTTTAAACTCCAAATTCGAAAACTAGACACTCGAAGCTTCAATTTCCTTTTTTTTATTCTGTTTACGACAATTTCCCTCCGAGTTACAGCTCTTTGAAAATCACCCAAAATTTTGGTAAATGGACCTTGCTCGATCGATTAGGGAATTTTTCAACTTCCGGTTCCGACCGGAAACCAGTTTTTTCAAATCGAATAGTATATTTTTATAGAAAAATGTGATACATTTGTTTGAAAAGTTTTTTTCTAAAATGTGTTTTTGACCCCTAGACGACCTTTGAAGTTGACCTCTTGCCGAATCCCGTGAAAGCTCTTTCATCTTCGGAAAAGGAATTTTCACAAAAAAAAAATCGTGCTCAATATTAAACAGTTAAAGGTTATTTTCGATATTAAAAATTCCTTTTTTCAATCGGGACAAGCATACCATTTAACCGGCGTACTAAAAAAAATAAATTTCCGAACAAAACTCACCTGATATTTTTCTGTGTTCGATGCAATCCTTAATAAACGGTACGCGAAAACTTCTCTCCCTGGTCACTTTAAAAGTATACCTTGCACTTACTCGCAATTCCATTTTTAAAAACACCGGGGATTAACTAAAACGTGAAAATAATACGTATTACCGACTTGCACACAACGGAACATGAAATTACGCAGCATTGTTCATCTTTTGTATGCAAAAAGAAATAGGGTTTGTAACGATGGAACACAATGCGAAATGAACAGCACATTACAATTTCTGTGTAGAGAATAAAGAAATTATTTTATCGCTTTAAAAAATGGTTAAAATCGTTCTTTGATGTGTTTGACTCTACTCCCAGCGTCGGAGTATAAATCGCACGCACATGACACGAAAGGAAATGCCTAAGCTGGAAACTGGGACTAAACTAGAAAAAAAACGCAAGTGGAGAATAAATAAATTGTTGTGAATCAAATGGAAAGTTTCGCTGGAAAGAAAGTTGTATGGAAGCGATCATTAACCTTGTTTACAAAATTTCATACCAATAAAACTTTCTTGGAAAATAATGATTATTTTTTCAAAAAACTTCCATTTTATAGAAATTTATTTGAAAATTTCAACATTTTCAGATCATATTTTCCCATTTTTGAGTTTTAAATTTTTGGAGTTTTATTAAAATTATGTATTTTTTTAAAAAACTACCTCTTCAAAGAAGTTTGTATGAAAATTTTAATATTTTCAAATCATATTTTCCAGTTTTTCAAATAATCAAATCTGTTACGAAAGAATTTAAATTTCTAGTTTTATTTAATCAAATGGAAAGTTTCATGGGAAAGAAAGTTTCATGGAAGCAATCATTAAAGCTTGTTTACAAAATGTCATTCTAACAAATCTTTCCTAGAATTAAAATTCTGGTTATTTTTTCAAAAAACTTACATTTTATAGAAATTTATTTGAAAATTTCAAAATTCATTTCATTTTCAAAAATCATATTGTCCCATTTTTGAGTTTTAAATTTTTGGAGCTTTATTAGAATTTTTTTTTTTCAAAAAACTTCCTTTTCCAAAAAGTTTGTAGAAAATTTCAATATTTTCAAATCATATTTTCCCGTTTTTCAAAGAATCAAATTGTTATCGTAGAATTTAAACTGGAAAGTTTTATTTTAACAAATGGAAAGTTTCACTGGAAAGATAGTTTTATGGAAGTGCTCATTAAACCTTGTATAAAAAATTTCATACCAATAAAACTTTCCTAGAATTAAAATTATGGTTATTTTTTCAAAAAACTTCAACATTTTCAAATCATATGTTCCCATTTTTGAGTTTTCAATTTTTGGAAAATTTTATTATTAAAATTATGATTATTTTCTAAAAAACTTCCTTTATAGAAATTTATTTGAAAATTTCCACATTTTCAAATTTTTCAGTTTCAAATATTTGGAAAGTTTTATTGAATCAAATGCAGTTTCACTGAAAAGAAAGTTTTATGGAAGCGATAATTGAAAATGAATTGTTTTAAAATTTAATTCCAAACCATCCTAGAATTAAAATTGGTTATTTTTCAAAATCTTCATTTTTAAAGAAGTTTGAAAATTTCAATACTTTCAAATCATATTTTCCCATTCTTCAAATAGTTCCCAAAGAATTTAAATTTCTGGAAAGTTTTATTGAATCAAATGGAAAGTTTCACTGGAAAGAAAGTTTTATGGAAACGATAATTAAACCTTGTTTAAAAAATTTCATACCAGTAAAACTTTAGCATCGGAGTATAAACCGCACGCATATGACACAAAAGGAAACGCCTAAGGTGGAAACTGCGACTAAACTAGAAAAAAAACGCATGTGGAGAATTAAGAAATTGTTTTATCGCGTTAAAAGGTTGTCAAAATTGTTTTTTTTATGTGTTCGACTCTACTCCCGGCATCAGAGTATAAATTGCACACATACGACACAAAAGGAAACACCTAAGCTGGAAACTGGGACTAAACTAGGGAAAATTTTGTTCTAGGAAGGTAAATGGATCGGTCTGGAAGAAATACGGTACCAACTTAGAAAATATAACAACTTTATTAATGATAAAAAGTATATATATCCTAGCGTGATATAAACATTGATTAATATAGTGTTATTAAATCCTTACTTCCTAGTCAGGCAAGAAAAACTAACCTAAAAGTTCCACTGAATAAATTAAGTGTAATAAATAGTAAAACTTAGAAAAATAAAATATGTACAATTAAAAATAAAAGAGTTTAAAAATTAATTTAAAGATAATACCGTTCTGTAAAAAAAATGGAATCGTAATTGATAATAAAGCGAACTTGTCATCTCGAAAACGATAAAATTTGTACCCTAGAAATTACCTCCGATAGAATCCAATCGTCACCGACAATATAAGCAACAGTTTTTATGTACAAATAAATAATCGGCGGCCGCCGCCAATAAAATTATTAACAACACTATGACTAGCCGTTAAAATTACCAAGTGAGAAAACAGAACAACTCACGCGACGCCCCGGC